TGCATTAAATTAATAAATTAAATTACAGACAGCTGATATCTTTAGGTGGTGTTGACATGGTCTAACTCGATGTGCTGTGAAAGATTGAAAATTTGAACATGTAGTGTATATGCTATTAAATTGTGAATTGGTGGGATATATGTAACAGCTTATCAACAATTGTAGATACTGGTACTTCATATCCTCTTAAGGAAAATTTGTCTCCAAATTTTAAGCTGGAAATTCACTAGAATAACTTTTAAAAAGAATTACATGACTTTTTAGATTTTTTTGTATGTATGTTAAGAATTGTGTACAAATCAAAATATCTGTGTGCTGATCCTCTGAACACAACCACAGAAATCTCAATTATGAATGAATGTTTTGAAGCACATAGAAAACAAAACAAAGGATGCCTTTTCATTGTCTACTTTTGTGTCTTTAAAGAGGGTTTATAGTTATCTTCACATAAAATATTTCTTGTTCAATTTTTCTTTTTTCTCAATATTATATATGAGATTTTCTCATTCACTATATCATCTAATTATTTGCATGTATGTATGTTTTGATGTTTTCTTTCCTTTTAAAAATTAAGGTGTAATTTGCAGATAGCTTTTCTATATTTGGAAAATTCATACTTTTTAGTGTATAGTTCTGTGAGTTTTGACAAATGTTTACCGCCACTATGAAGATATAAAAGTTTTCTACCAATTTCTTTGTCTTCAACCTCTTCACTCAAGATGAACTCCTGGCAACCACTATGGGTCTGATTTTAGTCCCTGTAGTTCCAAAATGTCATAAAAATGAAATCATCCAGCACAGAGTCTTTGGAGTCTTAGGTATCACCAGTTTGCTATTGCTTTCTATTAATAGTTAAAATTTCACTCTAGTCAGAAAACATATTTTCTATTATTTGAATTATTGAAAATTTATATATTGAGGGCTGGTCACAGTGGCTCATGCCTATAATCCCAACACTTTGGAAGGCCAAGGCCAAGGCAGGGGGATCACTTGAGGTCAGGAATTCAAGATCAGCCTGGCCAACGTGGCGAAACCCAGTCTCTATGAAAAATAAAAAAATTAGTCAGGCATGGTGGCACATGCCTGTGGTCCCAGCTACTCGGGAGGCTGAGGCAAGAGAGACCTTGAACCTGGGAGGCAGAGGTAGATCTCAGTGAGCCGAGATCGTGTCACTACACTCCAGTGGGGGCACCAGAGTGAGACTCTGTCTCATGGACAGAATATGATCTATCTTAGTAAATCCCCAAGCGTACTTGAAAACAAAGTACATTCCTTTATTGGGTAGAGTGTTCTATAAATGTATAAACGTCAATTGGGTGAAGTTGGTTGACAGTGTTGTCCCAGTTCTCATGTCCTTATTGATTTTATGTCTACTTGTTCTATCAATTATTGAGAGAGGATGCTGAAATCTCCAACTATAATTGTGGATTTGTTTATTTTCTCCTTGGAGTTCTGTCAATTTGCTTCATATATTTTGAAGCTCTATTAGGAAAAAATGTTTAGAATTGTTTCCATTTGATTAATTTATTCATTTGTCATTATGAAATGACATTTTTTAACCTTGATAATATTTGCATTGAAATCTACCGTTTCTTTGTCTTTTAATTTTAAAAAATAATGATAAAATACATATAACATCAGATTTACCACCTTAACCATTTCTAAGTATACAGTTCAGTAGTGTTAAGTGTATTTACATTGTCGCACAGAAAATCTTCAGAACTTTTTCATCTTGCAAAACTGAAACAGTATGTATTTTTCTTTTTGTGACTGACATTTTACTTAGCATAATGTCTTCAGGATTCATCCATGTTATAGCATGTGTCATAATTTCCTTCCTTTTTAAGGCTGAATAATATTTTATTATGTATATATAAACATATTTTGTTTATACATTCACCTATTGATGGATTTGGGTTGCTTCTACCTTTTGGCTATCGTGAATGATAATAATGAACTTGAGTGTACAAATATAGTCATGCTCTGCATAATTAAGTTTCAGTCAGTGACCTACCATGTAAACAATGGTGGTCCTGCAAGTTTATAAATACTGTGTTTTTACTGTACCTTTTCTATATTTAGATATGTTTTAATACACAAATACTTACTATTGTGCTACAATTGCCTATAGTATTCAGTAAGGTAACATGCTGTATAGATTTGTAGCTGGGAGCAATAGACTATACCATTTAGCCTAGGTGTGTAATAGGCTATACTATCTAGATTTGTGTAAGTACACTCTATGATATTCACATGACAAAATTGCCTAATAATGTGTCCCCATCATTAAGTGACAGATTACTGTATCTCTTCGAGATCCTGTTTTCAATTCTTTTGTATTTATATCTAGAACTGGGATTGCTGGATCATATGGTAATCCTATTTTTAATTTTTTTAGGATTGCCATGCTGTTTTCCATAGCAACCAAGTCATTTTTATATTCCCACCAACAGTACAGAAGGATTCCAATTTCTCCAAATCCTTGACAATATTCATTATTTATTTTCTTTCTTTCTTCCTTCCTGTTGTCTTCTTTTCCCTTCCTTTTCTTCCCTTTTTCTCTTTCTTTCCTTCTTTCCTTTCCTTCTTTCCTTCTTTTTCTTCCTCTCCCTCCCTTCCTCCCTCCCTCCCTTCCTTCTTTCCTTCCTTCCTCCCTCCCTCCCCCTCTCTCTTTCTCTTTCTTCTTTTTGAGACGGAGTTTCGCTCTTCTTGCCCAGGCTGGAGTGCAATGGTGCAATCTTGGCTCACTGCAACCTCCACCTCCCAGTTTAAGTGATTCTCCTGCATCAGCCTCCCAGATAGCTCGGATTACAGGCTCGCGCCACCATGCCCGCCTAATTTTGTGTTTTTAGTAAAGATGGGGTTTCTCCATGTTGGTAGGGCTGGTCTTGAACTCCCAACCTCAGGTGATCCACCTGCCTTGGCCTCCCAAAGTATTGGGATTACAGGCATGAGACACCACACCGGCCCCTTACTTTTCTTTTACAGCACCCATCCTAATGTGTGTGAGGTGATATTTCATTGTGGTTTTGATTTTTATTTCCCTAATGATTAGCGATGTTGAGCATTTTTTTATATGCTTGTTGTCCATTTGTATATCTTCTTTGGAGAAATGTCTATTCAAATCCTTGGCCCATTTATAAGTGAAGTTTTTTGTTGAAGTTGAGTTTTAGGAGTTCTTTGTATGTTATGAATATTAACCTCTTCACAAATACATGATTTGCAAATCTTTTCTCCTGTTCTGTAGTCACCTTTTTATTTTGTTGATTGTTTCCTTTGCTATGCAGTTTTTTGTTTCACATAGTCTCATTTGTCTCTTCTTACTTTTATTGCCTGTATTTTTGGTGTCATATCCAAGAAATCATTGCCAAATTCAATGCCATGAAGCTTTTCTTTTTTGTTCCATTGTCCTATATGTCTTCTTTATGCCAGTACTAGTGTACTGTACTCTTTTGATTACTGTAGCTTTGTAATATGTTTTGAAATCAGGAAGTGATATAAGCACAAAATGCCTTTATTAAATGTTATTTAGATATTTCACTGTCTTTCATTTTCACTGTCCTTCATTGTTATCACCTCTAACAGTACTATAATGAAACTATTTTTACTAGTAAAATGTTCTTAAAATAGGCTAGAGAATTAAATTAAGAAAAATATGGGAGAGAAAAGGCTAAAGAGTTCACTTAGATGTAAACCAGACCACTAAGTGATGGTTTATCTTCTGCTTGCCTGGGAACTTACTGTTTATCATGTTGACCCATTCCATCTTAGGGCAGTTCTAATTATTTAAAAACGTAGCTTTATGTTAAGCCCAAATGTGCATTACTATAGCTCTACATACCAATGTAGAGTTGTAGAAATCACTTTCATAAGATAACCCTTCAAATGTTTAAAGACAACTGCCTTTGCATTCCACCCACTCATTAACTCTACTCCTTCAAGTTAAAGATTCTCATTCCCGAGGCCTGGCGTGGTGGCTCATGCCTGTAATCCCAGCACTTTGGGAGGCTAAGTGGGGCAGATCACCTGGAGTCAGGAGTTCGAGACCAGACTGACCAACATGGAGAAAATCTGTCTCTACTAAAAATACAAAAATGAGCCAGGTGTGGTGGCACATACCTGTAATCCCAGCTACTTGGGAGGCTGAAGCAGGAGAATCACTTGAACCTGGGAGGCGGAGGTTGTGGTGAGCTGAGATTGTGCCATTGCACTCCAGCCTGGGCAAAAAGAGTGAAACTCCATTAAAAAAAAAAAAAAAAAGATTCTCATTCTTTTCTGCATATCCTCATGTGACATGGTTTTGCGTCCTTTCAGGCACCAGTTTTTCTATTCTGAACATACCTAGTTTTCATAATCCTTTTGCAACATTTGGCACTTTGAGTAAGCACATACCACAGGTGTGTTTTTATCAGATGCCTGTTTTTACCAGTGAAAAGTAGAATCAAGTTATTATTATTCATGCACATCCTCATTAGTATGTTTCTGTTAGTATTGCCCCCAAATTCATTATCACCTTTTTTTTTTTTTTGAATGAATGGACTTTGTTTTTAGAGAAGTTTTAGGTACACAGAAAAATTTAGCAGAAAATAGAAAATCCTCAAATACCTCTTCTCCCTTAGTTTCCCCTATTATTAACATCTTGCATTAGTGTGATACATTTATTGCAACTGGTAAACCAATGCATTGTTATTAACTAATATCCATAGTTTAGAATTCACATTTTGTATTGTATAGTTCCATTGGTTTTTGTTTTTTTGTGTGTGTGTTTGTGTGGTTTTTGTGTGTGTAGGTGTGACGGAGTCTCACTCTGTCACCCAGGTTGGGGTGCAGTGGCACCATCTCAGCTCACTGCGGCCTCTGCCTCCTGGGTTCAAGCAATTCTTCTGCCTCAGCCTCCCAAGTAGCTGGGACTGCCACCATGTCCAGCTAATTTTTATATTTTTGGTAGAGACAAGGTTTCACCATGTTGACCAGGCTGGTCTCGAGCTCCTGGCTCAGTGATCTGCTCACCTTGGCCTCCCAAAATGCTGGGATTACAGGTGTGAGCCACCGCCCTGGCCTGATCCATTATTTTTGACAAATGCATAATATCATGTGTCCATCATTACAATATCATACAGAGTAGTTTCACTGCCCTGAAAATTCCCTGTGCTCCACCTATTCATCCCCCTCTCCTTCTCCCAAATCTCTGGCAACCATAATCTGTTTACTGTCTCTGTAGTTTTGCCTTTTCCAGAATGTCATATGGTTAAATACAGGATGTAGTTTTCAGACTGACTTCTTCACCTAGGAATCTGCATTTAAGTTTCTTTCTTTTTGTGTGTGTGTGTGTGTGTGTGTGTGTGTGTGACTTGATGACTCAGTTTTTTTCTTTTTAGTACTAAATAATAGCATGGGATTCTACAGTTTATTTATCCATTCACTTACAGAAGGACATCTTGGTTGCTTCCAAGTTTTGGCAGTTATGAATAAAGCTATATTGCTTCCAGAAACATTCATGTGCAGGTTTTGAGTAAACAAAATTTTCAATTTATTTGGGTAAATACCAAGTAATGCAATTGCTGAATCATATGGGAAGAGTATGTTTAGTTTTGTAAAAAACCGCCTGTCTTCCAATGTGGCTGTAGCATTTTGCATTCCCACCAGCAATGAATGAGTGTTCCTGCTGCTCCACATCCTTGCCAGCATTTGGTGGCCCTTTTTTCCTTTCTTAAACAGAGCTATGTTATTGTTGATTTGTACTGAGTTTACTGCCAAGCAGGATGCCCTAGACGTTTTTATATGACTTGGCTGCTGAGCCACATTCTTTTTCTCTCAAACTTGTGCAGTTATTCTTTGGACTTGCCTTAGTGGTCTTTCTTTTCTTTTGCACCTCTCCCAGATGCCCTGGGCTTGGTCTCTTTTACTTATCAGGTGCATTCATAAGCCAATTGCTTATTGACTATATTACTGTTAAGGACTCACACTTGCAACATTTCCCTCGGGATTGCCTTTGGGAGACTAAAGGTGCCTCTCTAGAGGTCGCTGGGAGTTGACATTCATCTCCGGATCAGATGGTCCGTAGACAATAACTGACTGTATGGAGGTAGAAGAACTGAACTCCCTTGCCCCTAAGAGGGACAAATGCTCTTAAGGAAGTTATACACTCCAGAGCTCCCTGGGGGATTAGGCAGGAACCAGGGTAAACCTAAAAACACATCCTAGCTTAGCTTCTTCCCCTTCTCCAACTTCATCTCTCACTTCCTACAGGTTTCTCCTGAGGGCACAACCTTAATAAATCACTTGCACATGCATCCCAAACTCAGGCTTTGTTGCTAGGGAATCTGACCTAATTTTATGACCTCTTTCAATTATAGCATGTAATTGTTTCTAATATTTTTGACTATTATAACCATTCCTTTAAAAAATGGTAATGACCTTACTTCAAATAGGTTATTTTGAATTGCTCATGCATTGTTGCTTGTATTTATTGAATCTCTAAGGGCAAGACTTTGTCAGGAAAAGAATTACCTTTTCAATATTACAGTGAATGTCAATGGGAAAATCAGATCAATGTGATAAATCTTTACGGCTAAGTAAACATGTATGGAATCGATCTGTTCCATTAGGTGAGGATTAACTCCACTGTCACTGAGCTGTTGACAGTGGTGTCATTTTAAGAAGACAGTCTATTTCAGTCTCATGAGTGTCAGGATTTATGTGCTAGAGGTACCTTTTACTCTTTAAAATATTACCATTTGGTTTTGTCTGAATGACACCTATCCTTTATTTTTATTTTTAGTGGTGGACACCTACTTGGCCAAAAAGTTTGGGTTTTCAATGAAAGACCCATTTCTGTGTCCCAGTATTATGTGTTTTGGGGCACAGCCTCGTATCAAGGGGAAAAGTCCCTGAAAATATTGTCAGCACCACTCCTGGTGGCCCTGGATCCTCACATATGGAAGTTCTTGCCTAAAATGCATCACCTAATCAGAATGACACATCACAAGATGAGAAGTTTTCACTGTGAGGTAACATGATTGCAAGGCAGTCACAAGGGGTTGGAGGTAACACGCAGGTCTGCAACCACCCAGCTCACTCAAGGAAGACCTAAAAACATCAATGTTAAAACCTGTAGATAACATGCTTGTAAAAAATTCTCCATCGTGTCTAAATATCAAGTCACCCAATTGAGTGTGAAGCCTGTATGGGATTACATAAAAAACAGTGTAGAGGATGATAGGATTTTGATTGAGTTTGACATGTTCAAGGAGATGGTCATACTGTTGTAACTGAGCAAGTTATAGAGAAAGCGCCACACTCTGAGATTGAATCAGGAGTCCTTTATTCCCAGCGACCGAGAGATGGCTAATGCTCAAAATTCTCTCGGCCTCGAGGAAGGGGCTTGACTCCTTTTTATACCTTGATTAGGGTAGGGGAGGGAGAGCCTAGCTGAAGTGGAATTTTACAGAAGCAGAATGAGCAGGTTAGAGGGACGTGGTTGCAGGCCAGGGTATTTTCCAAACAATCACCAAGGGGGTCCGAGGAGGAGTATTCACAATAGCAGGTGTGCTTGCCAAGCAGGATATGGTTACAACGGTTATATGGTAGGATAAGCACAGCGTCAGCGTGGCAGAAGCACAGTGTCAGTGTGACCCAGTTATGCACCCGAGGGAGACATGGTGGGAGAAATGGCAGAGAGGCTAAGATGGAGTCTATCTGGCTCACAGCTAAGATGAAGTCAATTGGGCTAGCATGAATTAGGCTATCACAATACTAACTGGTTGTTTGGAGGATGTGAAGGGATGTAACACAATTAAAGACAGTAAGAGAAAGCATCAGCCAACACATTAAAAGGAAAGCCAAAATATGACAGAGAATGTGGCTAGTTCTTTTGGGAGGCTTTCTAGTCTTCACATCAATGCTTTAAAAGCCTTTTATCTGAGGAATTCTTGTGGGAGATCACTGATAAAACTTTCATCCAACATACCAGCCTGCATGCAGAAGACTAACAAATCATGAAATTCTTGAGCAAATGAAAGTATTGCCCAGAAACCCGCTGCCAAAGCAGAGAGTGAAAAATAATCAAGGACAGTTTTAAATAAAGAAAATTGATATCCTTTTTGAGTGAGATCAGGCATGGAAAATAAGCTTTGTTTCATGGATTACCTCTGACCAAATGATAGTTGTTGCCTGGAGCTCTGTGCTGAGGAAGATTCTGAGACTGGATCTAGGTTGATTGAAAAAGAATGCTGATGAAGATTAGTAATGTCTGTCACAGGTGCAAGAGGGGTGACATGTGCTATGTTTTCACCATTTGTGTGACAAATACCCTGAGGTAGATCAGCTCAGATTCCATGAAGAGTAGAAATGAACTGAGTGTCAAGAGACTGGATTCAAGTACTGTGTCCTCCATTAGCTAGTAGTTTGATTTTGTCCAAATGACTTCATCCATCTGCACACTGGTTTCCTTTTCAGGACAATGAAATTTCTATTTTGGATGATCTGTTATAACCCTTTAAATTCTAAAATTCTATGATTGATTAATAGTCAAACTCCAATGCATTATTATGGAATACTCAGGGATATGTCTTAGTTGGAGTGCCTCCTGAAGGGGACCATAAGACAGGATTCAATTGCAAGTTATTTAACTAAGAAAGTAAAGGAAATGGGCTGGGTGTGGTGGTTTATGCCTATAATCCCAGCACTTTGGGAGGCTGAGGTGGGCGAATCACTTGAGGTTAGGCATTCAAGACCAGGCTGGTCAACATGGTGAAACCCCAACTGTACTAAAAAAAATACAAAAATTAGCTGGGCATGGTGGTGTGCACCTGTAATCCCAGTTATTCAGGAGGCTGAGGCAGGAGAATCATTTGAACCTGGGAGGTGGAGGTTGCAGTGAGCCAAGACTGTGCCACTGCACTCTAGCCTGGGCAACAGAGGAAGACTCCATCTCAGGAAAAAAAAAAAAAAAAAAAAAAAAAAGGTAAAGGAAACTGATAGAGTGTATCATCAAATCAGCTCCCTCTTAATCCCACTGGGGAAAATCATAGTGACTCTCTCTGGGAGGCAAGGTTGCTGCCGTATTTTTATGCCATTTCCTGTCAATCACTGGATGAGGGCGGGTGGGGGGTGGGAGCTTGTGGAGGGGAGCTCAATATACCTGCACTCCCTTTGTGCTATACCAACAAGCCAAGTGAGCTTTGGCACTAAAGAAAGTCCCCAGGCAAGAAATGCAGTTGGAAACATGTCCAGGGTACACTTAAATAGTAAGGGCTGTGGGATACAGACAGGGTTGGCTATGCTAGGATTCTTGGGGGGAATAAGTAAAAAAGCTCACTGGCATTTGGGGTGTTAAATATAATTGATACTTAAACATTATAGTAATCAACTATTTGCTTTTAAATCTCAGAGCTATGAGTTGAGTTAGAGAATTCTGTGAAATGTAACAGTTATTTTCTATACAAACACCTGTAAGGAAAGTTTATTTATTTATAATTTTTTTTTTTTGAGACAGGGTCTTGCTTTGTTGCCCAGGCTGGAGTGCAGTGGTGCCATCATGGCTCACTCCCACCTTGATCTCCCAGGGTCAAGCAATCCTCCTACCTCAGCCTCCTGAGTAGTGGGGATTACAGGCACATGCCACTGAGCCTGGATGATTTTTTTACATTTATTTTTTGTAGAGACAGGGTCTCAATATGTTTCCCAGGCTGTTCTTGAACTCCTGGGCTCAAGTGATTCTTCCACCAAAGTTCTGGGATTACAGACCTGAGCCATGCACCTGGCCTAAGGGAAGTCTTGAAATTGGCATTGCTGGTAATGCTTTACTGTTTTCTCCACAGTCCAGAGACGAGTTCAGCAAGAAAGATTATTTTTCAATCAGAAATGTTCTAGCTTCAATCCAAACCAAAGAAGGTCTGAACCTCAAGTTGATAAGTGGAGATGTTCTGTACATCTGGGTAGGTGATGCCATTTAATAAATCTACCAAGGAGCAATGGGATCTAATTAACTAGCTTTGTGACTTGTTACATGATTTAACTTGTTCTTTATCTTAATCAAAGATTAAAGATATCAAGGTAAGTTTGAGAAGTTAACCCCACTTAAAGTTTATGCAGAAATATACTTACCATCTCCCATATTCTTCCACATGTACTCATATGGAGGGGTTCAAGTTTAACCACAAACAAGAGTTTGCAAATCCACTTATTTTCTCTGTAACTGATCTTGACTTACTCTCAACCAAGTTGTTTTTTTGTCCTGTACCAGTCAGCATTAATGAGGAAAATATGTGTATACCACACTATAAAATCACCCTTCACAAACACACACCTTTGCTCCTGCCTGAGGACTTTGCAGAAACACAGGAAGAATGAGGAGGGATAAAGGTTACCAGAACAGGTGGAAAATTCTCAGCCTGGCTCCTGCCTACCCTTTCTCTCCTATTGCTTCCCCTTCTTTGGAATCACCAATTAACAGGAGATACAGGCTCTGTATTCCTTCTATAGTTGACATCCATCATACGCAATCCTGGCTGCAGATCATAATCATCTGGGGGACCTTTTAAAAATACGTACGCCTAGGCCCCACCCCTAGAGATCCCGATTTTAATTGACCAGGGATGTGGTGTAGGTGATAATAGTTTCTGAAAGCATTCCAAGTGATTATCTGATGTAGCTAGGGCTGAGAATCACTGGTTCAGATGCTTCTTAGAATTCTGTAGCCCCACCATTTGGACACCTGATGTTTACCTTCAGATGGCAGATATTCTGGACTAACAGAAAGAGAACTGCTGAGAAATTGGGAGATTCTTCTGGATTATGAGCCACTGGAAATATTCTTTGCATTTGCTGTGGTTAATGGGGTGGCAGAGGGGAGCCAGCCAGCTGCTTTCTTCATGTTCTTTAGAGTATGGAGTTTTTAAGAGTCCTCTGTCACGTGGATTCAGGACCTTGTCCTCAAATCAGCAGGTTGAGAAGTTGCATCTTATCATTTTACATAGAATTTATAGCCTTGCAGATAGGCTTGCACTAATCAAACTCAAGAGAGTTATTTATAAAACTGGAATTGTAATTATTTCATTTGCAATGAGAAAGATGATTGCCATCGCTACTGGTAATAGTGAGCTCTGCAACTGACTATCATGAGAGTGATTGGTGAGTAATATCACCAGAAGAACTGGATGATATAAAAGTACATTAAATTTATTTTTCACTCTAGGTGTAGGCATAGTGTGGTGAGTAAGCAGACCAACTCTAAAGCCAGTTCTGGCAGGGTTCAAGTACTGCTCCACCACTGAACAGCCACTGATCTTGGTCAATATCCATCTTATGTCTCTGGGTTCTTATCTATAAATATGGATGATGATGATCTGAAGGTTATGAGGTTTAATGAAATAATTTATATAAAGTACTTATCCCCTGCCTTGCACATAGTAAGGACTCAAAAAAATGATAGCTGTTATCATTATCCCCCATCTGATGGGCCACTTTATCTTTTACCTTACTCAATTAGTACTCAACCTAATTAAGATATATATTACCTACCCACATTTTATAGATGAAGACACCAAGGTCTTTTCATTATGCAATCCACTGAGTTGATTATAAATTTTATGTTAACTCATTTTGGAGTTTATCCATTCTCACACCATTGGATGGTGCTGTATAAACTTTAGAATCCTCCTCATCTTTTTTCTCTGAATTCTTTCTCCTATCCAGTTAGTTTCCAAGCCCTAATAAGCCCCCTTTCAAAATACCTCATGTACATGCCTTTCCTTTTCATTGCCATTGTCTACCCATATTTCAGTACACACCACCCCCAACCCCCAATCAAACCTTAGCACTACTCTGGCTCCCTTGTCACTCTTTAACCTGTCCTCTCTGTCACTGATATATATTCCAAAAACATTTTAACAGGTACTTCTCTGCGCACACATCTTCAGTAAGTTCCTACTACCTATAGGGCAAAGTCCAAAAATGTGTGGCTTTCCAAGTACTCCATCATCTGGCCCTAGATTTCTTCCCAGCTCCTCTTCTCACTATTGAACCTCTGCTTTAGCTAAATTTGACTGCTTTCTGATCTTGCACAATCCTATGCCTTCTTGCTATCTTTTCTTTCTTTGAGATGGAGTCTCGCTGGAATGCAGTGGTGCAATCTCGGCTCACTGCAACCTCTGCCTCCTTGGTTCAAGCGATTCTCCTGCCTCAGCCTCCCAAAGTGCTGGGATTACAGGTGTGAACCACTGTGCCTGGCCACAATCCTATGCTTTCTTAAATATTCCACACACCTCAAATGCCTTGCTGCCTTCTTTCTACCTGACCCAGTTATAGCCATTCTTTAAGGTCTATCTCAAATTCTTATCCCCTTGGTAAAGCTTTCACTCACTATTCCAATCTAAATCGTTTCCTACCTTTTTTGAAGCTTTATAACAATATTTGTATATTTAACAGAGTGTGTCTTTTGATTATTTTGAACTTATTTAAGTGTTAGTTGCTCAGGCTGGTCTCGAACTCTGGGGTTCAAAGCGATCCTCCTGCCTCATCCTCCCAAAATGCAGGGATTACAGGCATAAATCACCATGTCCGGCCTATTTTTTTACATGTGAATATATTGCTTCCTCAAACTGTGTAGGAATCAGTGAATAGAGAGTGAGACTGCAAGTATGAGTGAGGAAAACATGGGCTAGATCTAATTTTGTTTCTTTTTGTTTTGTTTCTTGGATGGCTCACTCACTCTTGTCTCTGCAAGGGGCTTTTCAGATCTTCAGATTGGTTTATGATAACTTCATATAATACCTCATATGCTAACATATATAAGTGGACCCAAGAATGCCAATTATTAGATTGAGAAATATAACCTATTATATGTCCCAAAGACATAGACATCTTTTAATTTACAATGAACAAGAGTTCCCCCAAAGACCCAGGACATTCAAAATCCATGACAAAGACCCAGGACATTCAAAGATCAGGCCGGGCTCATGCCAGTAATCCCAGCACTTTGGGAGGCCGAGGTGGGCAGGTCACTTGAGGCCAGAGTTTGAGACCAGCTGGCCAACATGGCGAAACCCTATCTCTACTAATAATAGAAAAATTAGTCAGGCATGGTGGGTCATGCCTGTAATCCCAGCTACTCGGAGACTGAGGCACGAGAATTGCTTGAACCTGGGAGGCACAGGCTGCAGTGAGCCAAGGTCCAGCTTGGGGAACAGATCGAAACTCTGCCTCAAAAAAAGAAAAAAAGAAAAAAAAAAAGCCACATGATCAGGGTGTTTGTCTCCTCCTAATCCCAAATTAGCAGGGAATCAGAAAGTTTCTGGTGAGCACAAAATCTGAGTAATAGGAGTTATGAGTTGAATATGTAACATCTCATGGCATTAGGCTATGACCCTCATCTCACCAAAGGAAGAGCCTTTGCATTGACATTGGAGAACCTGATGTACCTGGACAGGCTAGATTGGACACTGCGTACATTTATCATAGTGACTTTGCTTTGCCTAGGCCTTCAGGGCTGACCAGAGTCTCCTTCATGTTGACCTAGTCTTTCTTTTGGTATATTGTTAAATTAAAAACAAGCATTCTCAGTTCCTGCCAGCCTAAGAGCAGTTCTCTCTCCCTTCCCATCTCTGTCTCAATCTTTGTGTTTTTGTCTCTGTCCATCTCTGTTTTTCACTTTCACTTTTCTTCTTTCTCCATTTCTCGCTCTCTTAGTCTTTGTCTCTGATTCATTTTCACAGTTCTACTCTGACTCACTGCGTGTTGATTCCACAGTGATGGTTAATGTATCTCCTTAATGTCTAAGTTTTGGAAGTAACCTCATCATGGTGTTTCAGTGCTAACAATGGACTGTAAGGTCCTTGAGGGTAGTGCTGACATGTTAGTATGATAGGCAAAACATACCTGTACATTACCTCACAATACTTAGTAAATTTGGAGGTGCTCAGTCATTGTGTATTGATTCAATCTGTAAGTGTTGCTGTTTTCTTTAAGGCTGATGTCATTGTCAACACCGTTCCCATGAATCTTCAGCTGGGAGGAGGATCGCTATCTTGGGCAATTTTGCACAAAGCTGGTCCCATGCTCCAGAAAGAGTTAGATGCCACCAGGCAGGAAGCAGAGGAGAAAGTGGGTAGCATATTCATGACAAGTGGCTGCAATCTGGACTGCAAAGCTGTGCTCCATGTCGTGGCTCCAGGCTGGGATAATGGGGCAGGGACTTCTTGGCAGGTAGGGAAAGCTCTTAGTTCTCCACCTCATTTGGTAGCTTTGGGAATCTCCTTCTGGTGTGGTATAGAACTGTGTTCAAGGAAGGCAGTTTTGCCCCGCAGAGGGCAGTTGTCTTGTTACAACTGCTACTGGTGTCTAGTGGGTAGAGGTAAGGGATGCTGCTAAACATCCTATGATGCACACACCAGCCCCAACAAAGAAGTGTCTGCCCTAGGCTGTGAGACCCTCACATTGATTGAACCCTGTCTATCTATTGAAATCTTTATTACATTCCATGGAGAATCCATCACAACTACCAGTTATTTCTGAGTAACTAACCCTCAGAAGTAGTAACAGTCATTGGGATTCTCCAGGAATGGTGTCTAAGGTGTAACATAATAATCCTTCAGTATAGCAAAGAGGTGCACCCGACGCTGTGGTGATGAGTAAGAGTCAGTGCCCTTCTTTTGATAACATCATTTCCACCTCCACTCCCAGTTTAATTTTGCAACTTTTTTTCAGAATGTAAAAAAGTAATATAAATACATTGTGGAAAATGTTGAAAAGTACAAAAAGACAATAAAAATAATAATCCAACCACCAAGAGATAACTTTTTTCTTCTTCTTTTTGAGACAGAGTCTTGCTCTGTCAGCCAGGCTGGGGTGCAGTGGCACTATCTTGGCTCACTGTAACCTCTTCTCCACCTGCGGGGTTCAAGTGATTCTCCTGCCTCAGCCTCCTAAGTAGCTGGGATTACAGGTGCCTGCCACTGGGCCCAGCTAATTTTTGTATTTTTAGTAGAGATGGGGTTTCGCCATGTTGGCCAGGCTGACCTCAAGTGATCTGCCTGCCTTAAACTCCTGACCTCAAGTGATCTACCTGCCTTAGCCTCCCAAAGTGCTAGGATTATAGGTATGAGCCACCATGCCTGGTCTTAATATTTATTTCTTAATTGAGATTCTCTTTTTTTCTTTCTTTCTCTTTTTTTTGGAAACAGGGTCTTAGTCTCTCACTCAGGCTGGAGTGCAGTGGTGTGATCTCAGTTCACTGCAACCTCCGCCTCCTGGGTTCAGGTGATCCTCCCACCTCAGCCTCCTGAGTGGTTGGGACTACAGGCATGCACCACTATGCCTGGCTAATTTTTGTGTTTTTAGTAAACATGGGGTTTCACCATGTTTCCCAGGCTGGTCTTGAACTCAAGGGCTCAAGCAATCTGCCCGCCTCAGCCTCCCAAAGTGCTGGGATTACAGGTGTGAAACACCATATTAGACCTGATATTGTCTCTTTAAACATTTTTTAATACTTTTTTTTTAACTTAACATAAATACTGCATGTTGTTAAAAACTCTTCATAGGCATCACTTTTAGTTGCATTGAGGTACAATTTTTATCCAGCCATTCCCACACTGTTGGACCTGCCCCTCCTGAATGAGTTTGACTCTCTCTGGAAACTACTCTGTCCTATTTTCTTTCCCCTTTCTGACTTTGCAGGCCATGACTAAGCCAACAATAGCAGAGAGGTGCTTGTCAGAATTGCTGGGACCACAACTCTTGGTTTTCCACCAGCTTAAGCTCTAACTTATGTAAATGTACTTTGCACATTTCAGATCATGGCAAATATAATCAAGAAATCTTTGACAACCGTAGATCAGCTATCTTTCTCATCAATCACATTTCCCCTGATTGGAACAGGAAATCTGCAGTTTCCCAAAGCTGTTTTTGCTAAACTAATCCTTTCAGAAGTGTTCAAATACAGTAGCAGAGCAAGGCCGAAAACTTTACAAGAAGTCCACTTTCTGGTACATGCAGATGACGATGAAGGCTATCAGGTATGGTTACATATCCCATCTGGTTATTCTGGCAAGTGAATCCAAAAGCAATCAGATCTATGAATAACCATGTTTTCTACTCCTGTGTCCTTAAGTGATGGTGGCTAACGGGAGGTTGTCATATGATTTAGCTATGAGCCAACACTCATAATTCATGTAGTTCTTCCTAGACAGTTCATCAAGAGATAAGCTAATCTATAATAAATATATTCTTAGGCAGAAGTGGAAAGTTATTGGTATAAAAATGGCCTAGACATTTTAACACTGACTATGTGAAAGCTAAGTCATGTCTTTATCTATGGGGAAAGGGCAGAATAAGAGAAGCCTCAAGAATTTAGTTATTTGTATAGAATAGACCAGTCTACACATGTCTATGCATGTCTACAAACTAGCAATAGCAGCACCATATTCAGCAGTGGAGAAGAGTCAAAGCACACTTATTAAGTAGTTCCCACTGACATTAGAAGAATGGTATAACTAGGTTTAATCTCAGTTTTGCCATTTGAAAGTTGGATGGCATACTTCTCTGAATCTCAGGGTTTTTTTTTTTTTTTTTTTTTTTTTTTTTTTTTTTTTTTTTTTTTTTTTTTTTTTTTTTTTTTTTTTTTTTTTTCTGTTGCCCAGGGTGGAGTGCAATGGCATGCGATCTTGGATCACTGCAGCCTTCACCTCCTAGGTTCAAGCAATCTTCCCACCTTAGCCTCCCTAGTAGCTGGGATTACAGGCATGGGCTACCATGCTCAGCTAATTTTTATATTATTAGTAGAGATGGGGTTTCTCCATATTGGTCAGGCTGGTCTCAAACTCCTGACTCAGGTGATCCACTCATCTTGGCCTCCCAAAGTGCTAGGATTACAGGTGTGAGCCACTGCACCCAGCCTGAATCTCAGTTTTATCAAGTGTAAGAGGAGTGTTGCAATAACACCTTTTGGAGTTGTTCTAACTATTTAAAGAGGTGTGTCTGAAGTGTTTTGCATGATATGTAGCACATGGCAAACCTCAAAGCTGGTAGTAGTCATTACCTGACTTTAAGGACTGATAGGCAATTGCTACAACTAACATTAGCACTTAAGCAGGATCAAAGATAATTTTGTTTTTTAAGTTCTTAGTTATTCTTGCCCATTCTGGATGGAAGTGTGGTCGTCCCAGAGATGTTTCCCAAAGTTCCCCAGAGACGCTCCAAAGTATTGCATGATACAGTTTATAAGTAAATTTGTCCACAGGAAATAATAATAATAGTTTAGGCCGGGTGCAGTGGCTCAGGCCTGTAATCCCAGCACTTTGGGAGGCCAAGGTGGGTGGATCACGAGGTCAGGAGTTCAAGACCAGACTGGCCAACATGGCGAAACCCCATCTCTACAAAAAAATACAAAAATTAGCTGGGCATGGTGGCTTGTGCCTGTAATCCCAGCTACTTGGGAGGCTGAGGTCAGAGAATTGCTTGAACCGGGACCCGGGAGGCAGAGGTTGCAGTGAGCCGAGATTGTTGCCACTGCACTCCAGCCTGGGCTACACAGCAAGACTCCATTTCAAATAATAAAAATAATAATAATAGTTCAAAAAGTAACATTTACTCCCCAAAGTTTCTTAGTTTTCTTTCCCCCAGTAAATATAAAATATCCAGAGACATATGTTTTTGCTCAAAGATAAACTTGGGGAAAATTATTATTAGCAAAATGTTCGTGATATCTATGTCCTTGTTGAGTTCACAATAACACCTGCCCTTTATTGGGGTGGCATCTCCAGTAGCAATCTGGAAAGTAACTGCCCCAAATTTCATTGTTTATCAAGAATTAGAAATATGGACTGGTACAGTGACTCATGCCTATAATCCCAGCACTTTGGGAGGGTGAGGCAGGGGGATTGCTTGAGCCCAGGAGTTCAAGACCACCCGGGGCATCCTGGCAAAATTTCATGTCTATAAAAAATTGCCAGGTGTGGTGGTGCACATCTGTAGTCCCAGCTACTTGGGAGGCTGAGGTGGGAGGATCGGTTGAGCCCAGGGGGTTGAGGCTGCAGTGAGCCAAGATCATGCCACTACACTCCAGCCTGGGCGACAGAATGAGACCCTGTCTAAAAAAAAAA